GTTGTTGTATATTGGGAAAAAGGCACTGTATAGCCACTCTCAAAATAATAATAAAAAATTATATATTTTTTGTATATATACATTTTGTATGTTATATACATTTTTTATACACTTTTTCGGCCACCGAATATAAATAGTTTTTGGCGTGGGTTAAAACTGATAATACTCCCGGTATATTTCTAAAGGCCCAACTACCAAGCCCAAGTATCGGACCTCCCCAGGCTGCCCAAAGGTCTATCAGCGAACAAAGTAAAAATTGCACGGGGAGCCCTATTTGGTCGCCCTCATTTAACCTATACCCATTTTTTTTTAAAACTTTTAACTTGTACCCACTTTTTAAACAAGTTCAGCTCCCTTTCTCCTCCTCCTTCTCCTTCTTCATTTTTTCTTCTTCTTATGCAACGATGACTTCAACATTGCTCTATTTGATTAATGAAGCTAAAACAAATATACTGAGGAAGCGAGGTTTTACCCATTTACATACGCAAAAACTTCAGCATCCCTAGAATATATTTAAGAAGGCTATATTTATATATTATTAATAACATTGCAAGGTGCTAACTTTCTGCTACGTGCTACAGATGAGATGACGACTTTAGACACAGTACATATGTGCAGCTATTGACAGAGATACAAAGATGCTCACGCATGATCTAAGAGTTTTGAAATTGGATTTTGGATGTAACTTCGATTGCTCTGACTGAAAGGTTATTACAATGGTAACTTTGAACTCTAGGGAAAATGGACTGCAAAGATGATAATATCAGCAAATATACCCAGTGAAGTTTCCCAGTTATAACACAAAAACTATAGCTCTAGAGCTGAAGTTTCCCAGTTACAACACAAAAACTTCAGCTCTAGAGCTGAAGTTTTCCAGTTACAAAACAAAAACTTCAGCTTTAGAGCTGAGCTTCAGGTCCGGCTACTAGAATGCTGAAGTTTTGCGTGATTGCCTTTGCTACTTCAGCTCCGTGTGCTGAAGTTATGCGAAAAAGCGGGTACGCTTGCAATTTTTTTTGCAAAGCGGGCACAAGTTAAAATGTGACACAAAAAATGGTATAGATGCAAATGCTCCGCGAACAAATGTACTATGGGATAACCCGTAGGCCCTATGTACCTCCTCTGAAGACCATCATAATTGGATCCCATTTGATATTAAGATCAGCTTTAAGAACTCAAAAATATTCTGCAACAGGAATTTCCACGCAAATGATACTAATAATTGTTAAAGACGGGCTAATTTAGCTTGACATGCGTTTAATATTCTATATCTGTTTGGGTTAAATAAATCATTGTTTATCAGAGTTATCTGAGATTTCTTTTCTTTTACTAACATATAAATATTAGTCGATCGAAATTTTGATATTGCGGATATCTCTATATATATCTATTTATATATATATCTATATTTATATCTATCTATCTATATCTATCTATCTATCTATATTATTATAAAAACACTGAATAATTTATGCTAAATATTAGATGACTAAAATATTCTCGAAACTTTAATAGACTTTTATATCCTTAATATTTTGAGTTAAAGATGGATATAATTATAGTATTCCAAATATATTACCCAGAATGGAATTCTTTCCAGATTAAAACTCCACGTATGCCGACAGCAAATTCCTACTCTATCAATACCTAAAACTTTTAAAACAACTACAGCCGGTAAAGTTGGAAATAAATTATGAATTTGGATAAACTTACTATACTTGTCATTATGATAAACAACTTGAATAAAAACTAATATTAAATATTATTGTATTCTTTAACCGATTTATAAACTTATTCGTATCATTTTATAATTTTAAACTATTTAGTTCCAATTTATTATTTGATTATCACATCATTATTATGATTTGGTTTGCATTACATATATATAACTTCTATTTTAAGCAACTCATTATCTAACTTTAACAATTACTTATGGTACATGTTTGTAATATTTGACACAAGATATTCGTGCAACGCACGGGTATAGAGACTAGTTATTATAAAAGCACGAATATTGAAACATTAAATGTTGAATGACGAAAATATCCTTAAAATATTAATAGACTTTTATACCCTTTTCAAAATTTAATTATTACTCCAAATAAATAACTCCATGTTCGATAAAATTGTAATATTAAGTGTCGCACCTAATACTTATATATCACTAGAAGAAATCAGACATTTAGCGGCGACGTAAGTCGCCACTAATGCACAGAATATCGCCACTTAAAACCAATTAGTATCAACTTTTGGGTCGCTCCATGTGCAACTGTTACTAAATATTATTTGTGACGACTGCTGAAAGTTGCCACAAAAAGAACTCTTTTGCGGCGAATTCAGTCGCCACAATACCTTCAGTGGCAGCTCTTATCGCCACTATAGTATGTGATTTAGTAGAGAGAATTGTCGCTACAAATACTAATAGTTTTTGTTACAAATTTTTCAACAGATTTCATTTTTCTAAACACAATTAAGCTGCAACAATATTTCTATTAATATTACATAAATGTATCATAAGAGACACCATTCAGAGCATTTCTCAAACAAAGTGATAAAGGAACTTCTTATTAAAAATTCAAAACATAGAATCTGTGCATATACGTGAAATGTCCAAAAAAAAAAGAGCAAAAATAAAATGTATTCGAGCTCCTCTTGGCTAGCATCATTTCCTCTTGAAAATTATATCCGCAGAATGCAGCAAGAAATTCTTGCAGCCAAAGGAGGGAGCAGAAAAATCCTATACAAAATCGAAAGAGAATAATATTGGTCGTTTCCAAGTGCCGCTCTTTTGTATTATTCCATAAGAAGGCACATTATTATCTTTTACGTAGACATTGGACAAATTGGTTACTACCTACAAAAGAAATTCAAGGAGATTTGTGTTAGAAAACACATTTAGATACCATAAAATGAAATGATATAATCATGTCAATATGTTTCAAAAAAATCATGTTAACCATGATAACCAAATTACTTTCTTTCATATGTAGTGCCCAAGCTAAATATAGCAAATTAGAACTTTCTTTACTGTTTATTCACTAATGATATTTTCTGAAAAGAACAAACCTCATAAATGCCATATCATAGTCTACTGTGATGGAAGTATAGTTTGGCAATATTAGCGTTTGAAATAGTTCCCGAGTTGCTGGTATAAATTGATTCATATTTCCTAGTCCAATTCTATCCCAATTTGCACTATGTTCTCTCTGTTTCTACTTCTAATAGGTGCTTTACCAACTATAGTATACTAATTTCAAAGTGAAACTACTTGATGAAGAGTACAAAGTGAACTTCCATATTCAGGCATACAAATCTATCTTGGTCTACTATATGGTGTATCTTAGGAGCTTCTCACCAGCTATAGCATATATATGTTAGGATCTTTTTGATGATATACATGCTGAAAAATAAAATAAAACCGATCTTTCTCCGAATCAACAGTTGGGGAGAAATGAAAAGCCAAGTTACAAAATAATTATAAAAACTTAACTCGAGATGGACTACACGTACTGATAAATTAACTTGTAAAAATAGAAAATTAAGGCCAGAAATTGCACTGCTCATGTAAAATTTAAAAATTAAACAGGACGTTATTCATACAACAAAAGCCTGCTAAAAATAAAAAAGGTAGAGATCTTACCACTTCAGCATGTATTGGGTGCGACGTTCCACTGTTTGACGACCAAAAAACTCCCCTCAATCAATGCAAGATGGCTAAGAAACAGAAAGTTAACTTACAATTAAATTTTGATACAGCCATACCAAAGAACAATGACATTTATGGTGAGTTTTTCTCACCTGATAAATTTTCTCGTTGATATTAGTGTTGGCATGTATTTCCTCAATAGTGAGTTGAATGAGATTATTTTGAGGACCTCCAGGCATCCAACTGTCAATAATATTCTAAGGATTAGAAGTGGATTTTAAAAATAGAAGGAAGAAAATAGAAATGCTTTCTACCTTTTTTTGTTAAAGGGAGAATTCTTTCCACCTTTATGGATTTTCATGTGATCCGAATTATTCAAGTGGGTGACAGTCACACTTGAGCATCACAGCCAATATTAAGCATATATGAATGAGATCATAGGATTTCAAGAGACCCAAACTTGAAAGATTTTGAAATACATTGCAACTAGTAATAAGATGCTTACATGCTAATAGTGAAGTTATAGCCATGATACTTTTTACTACAGATATAATATCTAGCCAATCATGTCAAATAAGGTTTTGCAATCAATGAATCCTTTTCTTTTCGTGTTTGGATTTCTAAATGTAATACATGTATTCACACTCCCCTTTCCCCCAATGAAAAATAGTAAAATATAATAACATCATGAAAGACGGAAATAAGTAAGGCAATTAACTCGTAAAGCCTTAGACAATCTAATGTACTGTTACGCAATACCTTCCTGATGTTTTTTGGAAGGACAACGTAAGGCTAAGCAATTGATATCAGTGCGGTTGTTGTCCGCCAATGAGGTCCCCTCCGCACGCTAGACTAAATTGTCAGTGTCGTGCAAGAAAACCAATGTCACGAGCAATTGCGGAAGCTGAGAGAGATTTGGGTTTTGAATGTTGGTGATGATTTTATTGATGAATGAAAGCTGATTACAAAAGATGCGGTGTCGAGGGGGAGAGACACCAGTACAGAAGATTAATTGCTTGAAAAATGTTTGATTGCTTGATCCCCCTTAATAATGCTTAAAAAAAGTAAACCAAAGTTACATGACTCGCCCTAATAAAGTTGTAGAAGCACACTAAATAAAAATGATGTAAACTAGACTATAATTATAATGAAAAGGACTTAGTTTATTACAATGTAGAAACAAGTCCGATGGCAGCAACTTTGTCTTGCGGGTCAGGGTCTGCGCTCGCAGTGCTGTTGGCGCGCGCGACACTTGTTGTGTTTGCCTGAGGCTGGGCGCTGGTGCTTGGCATCAGGGTCTGGGCGCGAGGCGCTGCTGGAATTAGCCTGCAGGGCACTGGCGAGGCATCAGGATCTACGTGCACGGCGCTGTTGTCATTGGCCAGCCGCTGTGCGCTGGCGAGAGGCATCGGTAGGGCGACAGAGGCACCTGTGTTGGCACCGTCCTCGGAGCCATGTTAGGATGATGATAATGATGATGATGATTGTTCTGGTGGTTGATGGTTGGGAGGTATGCGCCCCTCTGTTCTTTGAGTTTGCTTTGATAGCGATGCAATGATTTCATGCGGCTGACATGAAAGACTGGATGAATTTTCCACCAGGATGGGGTTTTCACCTGGTATGTGGACTTCCCAATGCGTTTTTCAATGGGCAGGGGGCCGATGTATTTTTGTTGCAGGCGAGGGTCATGGGTCCTCTCTGCAAACAAGTATCGCTTTGGGATGCATAGCATTACTTTGTCCCCTGCTTGATGATGGGCAAAACAAAGATTATGTTCGGTGAACCTTTTTGCCCGCTCTTGGGCTTTGACGAGATAGCTCCGTACTATCCCCATGTTGCGCTCCCATTCGCTCGAGTAGTTGGCAGCTCGAGGAGATTTCGGCATGGTTGATGCATTCACCGTTTGCGGGAGAAGCGGTTGTTGTACTGTAACAATTTCAAAAGGGCTTTTGTTTGGATGATGGATCTTTTGAGAATTGAAACACAGTTGAGCAGCATCCAAGAGCTTCACCCAACCGGTTGCAAAGTTGCGGAGATATTCCTCCAGCATGTCATTGAACTGGTCTGTCTGGACATCCGATGGTGGATGTATGTCTGAGTTGTGACTCAATGTCGACCCAAAGCACCTGAAGAGATGGGTCCAAAAGTTGCTAGTGAAACGTGAGTCGCGCCCACTAACAATGTCTTTGGGCAGACCCCAATGTTTGACAATGTGCGAGAAGAAGAGTCGAGTTGTATCTTCTGCAGAGATATTTTGCGGGGCTGCTATGAAGGTTGCATAGTTTGAAAACTGATCTATGACAACCAAGATGGATGCAAGATTACCGACTTGGGGCAATCCCGTGATGAATCTGAGGGAAACACTTTCCCATGGTCTCTGTGGGACATGTAATGGCTGCAAGGGTCCCGTCTGTGATGAATGATCTGACTTATCCTTGTGGCATGGCTGACAAGTCTTCACACACTGAGGAGCATCACCAGTCTTTTGAGGTCGATGACATGATAGCTGATTGTTGCTGCGAAGGGTAGCCGGAACCAGGGGTTCATGTCTGTTGACTACCTTCTCCAACTGCATGGCCGAGATGTTTCCCGCGACCATCTTTATAGGAAATCATGGTATGGTGCAGGACTTGGTCCCGTTTTCTCCCATCATCAGGAGCATGTTGGCATATGGTACCGGTATGGTGTTGGTTTTCATCATGAACTCCAAACCCACTATTATGTCGAAGTCATCTATGATTGCGATGCGCAGGTCGATGCTCCATTTGTATGGCCCAAGTTTCACTGGGACATCTGTAGCTGTTCCACCCAATGTCTGGGGTGGCGAGTTGATAACCTTGACATGGCCTTTACTCTTTTGCACAACTAGACCCAAGCGCTCTACCTGAGTTGAAGCCAAGTAGTTGTGGGTAGCACCCGTGTCTATCAATGCATGAATGGGCTTGCCATTCACTTTCAATTAGACAAACATTAGGGTCCTCGCTTGTTTAGGAGGCCTCTCGTCCATCTTTTCCTTCCCTTTCTTGGTGATTAGGCCTGAGATTTTCTTAGGAGGACATGCACTGGTCCCCATTAAGGCATGTGGAATGGAGCCAAAAATTGCATTGAAGGCGCCTACCTGGTCTGCTTCTGATATGTCTGATGCATCTTACTCATCCTCGATAGTTTGATGAGCATTGATCTTTATGTTTGGGCATTCAATGTTCCAATGTGCCCCGCCACAATGACGACATTCTGAGGGAGGCTTTCTCCCTGATTGTTGTTGATGGATGCAACACTGTTGCTGTTGGAGGGAGGAGTTTTAGTTTTTGATGCACTCCAATCTCCCCCACTTTTGCTTGGGCCACCATTGCTGAGATGGTTCCCGTTGAATCCCCCTCGGACAGACAGCCGAGGTCTGTCGTTCTGAGTTCCCAAGTGATAATCGCCAAGGCATTCTGCAACTTGAATGGTCTTGGGCAGGGTGTCTACCCGTTGTCTCTGTAGTTCCATACGGGCATGAGGTTTCAAACCTTCTATGAATGCGAAGAGTTTGTCTTTGTCCCCCATGTCGCGTATGTTTAGCATGAGGTTGGAGAATTCACGCACATACTCCCGCACTAACCTGGTGTGGTGGAGCTCCCGTAGCTTTCTCCTTGCATTGTATTCCACATTTTCGGGGAAGAACTACAGGCGTATGGCTGCTTTCAATTCATCCCATGTCTGGAGAGTATCTTCACCGGCCCTGATGGCTTTGTATTTGACCCACCACCAAAGTTTGGCATCGCCCTGAAGATACATGGCAGCAGTTGCTATCTTTTTGGATTCTTCTAAATAGCCCACGACATCGAAGTTTTGTTCTATGTCGAAGATAAAGTTTTACACTTCTTTAGCATCCCGGAATCCGTCGTATGACTTTGGCTCTGGTACCTTAAGTTTTTGTAGAATGGGGGTGAGGCTTGCTGCACCCCTGATATGGTTGTCGCCCCCTCGAAGTAGTCTTTGTATGGCAGCATTGACAACATTGAGTTGGCCTGTCAAGTCGTTTATGGTTTGCTGCATGGTAGTTAGTCTGTCTGCCTCTTGTTCCCGATGGGATAAATCGTCGGCATGCTCCTGTTGGAGGTCCTCAAATTTGCCATGAATATTGGGAGTTTCAATGGCTGCCGTTTGCCGGTCATCCTCAGGGTCACGACTGATGTTTGCAATGTCATTTTCTGCCTACCGTATTCTGCGGTCCAGGTCGTCCAACCTTAGCACTAGGTTGGTGCTTAAATCAGGCACCATATCTACGATGGGTCGTAATCGGTCAACCGTCTCTTCTAGGGATGCTAGGCGCTCCCCATGATTCACCATGGTCAGAAATGGTGATGATGGCAAATGTGTTCCCTCGTCTGATATGGAGCCTAAGATCTGATACCAACTGTTACGCAACCCCTTCCTGATGTTCTTTGGAAGGGCAACGTAAGGCTAAGCAACTGATGTCAATGCGGTTGCTGTCCGCCAATGAGGTCCCCTCCGCACGCTAGACTAGATTGTCAGTGTCGTGCGGGAAAACCAATGTCATGAGCAATTGCGGAAGCTGAGAGAGAATTGGGTTTTGAATGCTGATGATGATTTTATTGATGAATGAAACCTGATTACAAAAGATGCGGTGTCGAGGGAGAGAGACACCAGTACAGAAAATTGATTACTTGAAAAATGTTTGATTGCTTGATTCCCCCTAATAATGCTTAAAAAAAATAAACCAAAGTTACATGACTCGCCCTAATAAAGCTGTAGAAATACACTAAATGAAAATGATGTAAACTAGCCTATAATTACAATGAAAAGGACTTAGTTTATTACAATGTAGAAACAAGTCCTATGGCAGCAACTTTGTCTTGCGGGCAGGGTCTGCACCCGCAGTGCTGTTGGCGCGCGCGACACTTGTTGTGTTTGCCTGAGGCTGGGCGCTAGTGCTTGGCATCAAGGTCTATGCGCGAGGCGCTGCTGGAATGGGCCTACAGCTGGGCGCTGGCGAGGCATCAGGATCTGCGCGCGCGGTATTGTCATTATGCGTGGCGCTGTTGTCATTGGCCAGCCGCTGGGCACTGGCGAGAGGCATCGGTGGGGCGACAGAGGCACCTGCGCGCTTGTCACTTGGTGTAGCCAAGACCACGGGGCCGACCATAGCGTTAGGCATTGTGAGGCTTGCTAGGCCGCCATGGGACGCGGCCAAGGGGTCATAGGGCGTGTCTGGAAAGCAGCCCATGACAGTACAAATGATCAAACAATATAATAACATTATCCAATAACTGAACACAGAAACCCAGTAATAAATAGAAGCAAAACCAAGGTCCATATCATATATTAAAGAAGAGAACAAGAAACAATCTTATTGAACTAATAAAAACCTTAATGGTTTATGCAATCAGCAGAAAAATATATTTCAAAGGGCAACATGGTATATGATTGATAGAGAAAATCAGCATTCTAACCATTACGAAAATTACCGCAACAAAAATAGACTTGAGACATTGTACATGCAATAACTCGAACACATTCTGGACATCCATAAACTATACTAATTGGGCAATAATATACAGACTCATCACAAGATATGTCATCATCTTATTCATTTCAGTATTTTATATCAAATTTAATCTGCTTATCCAAATCAAAAATTAAACATTAAGTTTGCGAGCAGAACTTTCGAAGAATGTTCAAAGAAATCCAACTTCTCTATTCAATTATACAACATTACCATAATTGAAAAGGAAATCTACACAAAATATTAACTATAAAATATTAAGTTTCAGCAAAACAGTTTCTTTAAACTCTCTAAAAATCAAAATTAAATGTTGACACATCCATAACAAAGAAAGAAAAATGAGAAATAAAACAGAAAGTAAAAATGCAAGGGAAAAAAGAAAGCCTTCACTAAGTTACGAATCTCAGAAGAAATGATGGAAATAGCACGAGGCCGCTTATTGACGCTATGTAGATACCTACTTTCCTCTCCAAAGATAAATAGTTTCCTTCTAATTTCTACTTTCATATTTCAACTCGAAATTTTCTTCAACAGACCCGATTTTGAGATATAGACAAAGAGAAAGGGATTTGAGTGAGACAAAAGGCTAGAAGCTAGAAATAAGGGTTTCGGGAGAATGGGATAAATGATTTGGGAGAATGAGATTTTTAGCGGGGAGTTGTCACAGCTCTAGAGTTTTAGGAGAATGGGGAAGATGGGTTTGGGGAAATGATAGAAATAAAGAAATGTACGATTCTCTTAAGCAATATGACATTTATTTATTAAAATTTTAATTTTAATCAAGAGAATTAGTAGCCACAAAGTCACTACAATAAATATTTAGCAGCAACTATTGATGGGTCGCTACAAATGCCTCTTTAGCAAAAAAAATTTCTTAGGAAAAATAAAAACTTATCATACATCATTATTGAGAGGTTCGGCGATTATCTCTTTCATCAAGTGTTTTTGTTAGCACCAATTTTTTTTTTTTGAATTTCCTTTTATTGTGTTATATTGAAGATTATGGAGTTTAATTTTGACGGGTACTTAAAGGTTGGGGAGTCGAAGATATGATTTCTTTCTGGATTCAATCGTTCTTTTTATATTTTGATTTTGCAAGATTTAATTTAATTACCTTCGAGTGAGATCCCCGACGAATTATCTTCTGATGGAATTTTATTGGTACTTAAAAGTATATTTCACTTTGCAAAAAGCTTGGCCATATGTAATATATAGCTCGTGGATTTATTTTTTAAAGAAAAAAGAAGTATGTGCTCTTCCAAATATAAATATTTATTACACAATTAAGTGCACCTTCAAACAATTTCTAATGTTAGATTTTACTAGCCTCAAACATGTCACAAATTATATTTTGCCCCATTAGAAAGCATTCTTGCGGAACAAACTATACACAAGGAATATCCTTCATAAATAAGTGCATTTACCGGAAAACAATGAGGGATTTAATTGTGTGGGTTGAAGAATTACGTTAGAAAGAGAACTTCTAATTATTTACCGTAATTATAAGCATGACACATATGTATTTCTCCAGATTTTAGTGTCTTTTCTTAAATCATGGAAAAATAGTATGTTTCATTAAAAAAATAATATATTAATCAAGACCAGCCTAACAAGAGTTAGGAGTATATCTTAATATCACAGGGGAGGAAAAGAAAAAACACTGAAAAAATGTGCGGAAGTATGAATAGTGACATGTCTAGATAAATTGCATGGCCAATATTATTGACATATTCAAAGATCTTAAAAAATAAAATCCCATATAGTAAAAAGAGACACATGAAACAAGTATTTATGGTTCAATCTACCAAGTATTCTTATATGTACGAAATTCTTACTTGTCCTTTTTCATATAAGTAATTAAAAAGATATAAGAAAATAAATTAGCTAAAAATAACGTCTTTAATATCGTAAGTTGCATGAGATTTAAAACAATAAGGATGTAAGATACGAAAAAAAAGTATTCAAAAGAAGTTGTCATTATCATTTTTCTTTATTTTTATATTCATTCCAATAAATGATAAACCCTTATATTTTTTTCATATTACATTATTATTTGTAATTCAATATTAGTTATATAAGAGTTTATA